CACGCAGGACACAGAGGACAAAGAGGACACAGAGGACACGCAGGACACAGAGGACAAAGAGGACACAGAGGACACAGAGGACACGCAGGACACAGAGGACACAGAGGACACGCAGGACACAGAGGACACGCAGGACACAGAGGACACAGAGGACACAGAGGACACAGAGGACACAGAGGACACGCAGGACACAGAGGACACGCAGGACACAGAGGATACGCAGGACACAGAGGATACGCAGGACACAGAGGACACGCAGGACACAGAGGACACTCAGGACACAGAGGACACAGAGGACAAAGAGGACACAGAGGACACGCAGGACACAGAGGACACGCAGGACACAGAGGACACAGAGTACACAGAGGACACAGAGGACAAAGAGGACACAGAGGACACGCAGGACACAGAGGACACGCAGGACACAGAGGACACAGGAAGCAGGAAGGGGTTTGTGTCTCAGCTGAAGGTTCTTTGTCCACCTTGATCACAGTGGACTCCGTAATGTCCTCTCTGACACGTCTCACAGGCCGTCCCGTTGAAGCCTTTCTCACAGCTACAGAGACCAGAACCGTTGATCCCATCAGAACACGGCCCGTTACCAAAGCAGGGCTGGCCCATCGGACCGGGACACGGCTCACAGTGCTCCCCATAGAAACCCTGGCAGCACCTGGGTTCCTGCAGACACAAAGACCCTGGAGATGAAAGCAGTCTCTTTCCAGAAGGTACCTCAGGGCGGCTGCAGGAACCCACCAGGTTCTTCTGAGTGCAGGTCACTGTGCAGCCGATGCTCAGCAGGAGTTCTCCCTCCACGTTCTGTCGAAAGATGCACTTCTTCATCCTGACCGACTTCTGCAGAGACGAGAAGAGACAGAACAAAGTCCTGAAATCATCTGAAGACAGAAAACAAGTCCGTCTTCATCAGGTTGTCCTCAGGAGGAGGACAAAGTTGGTTTCTCTCTTTAGTTCTAACAAGGGTTCTTTTAGAACCCAGAACAGAACCTTTTCCTTTTAGAGTTGAGTTTTGAACCCCTGTCCTGCCACTCAGAGGAGATCCTCTCCCCATCAGTCCTTGGGGTTTCGGATCATGAAGACAGAAAACTGTTCTGGTTCTTCCCAGGTTCTAAAGCACAGAACCGGTTCCACCATGGTGTCAACAGAAGCAAAATGTGAAAAAGTCAAGTCTTACGTCTGGAACGGTGTTGTTGGGACAGGCTTTAGTCTGACGGAACAAACAGTTTCCACAAGGACCCTGAAAGAAAACAAACTCAGTGAAGCTTGGTCCAGTTCTGACCCGGTCTACAGGGTTCTACAAGGTTCTGTTGTTCCAGGACTTCACCTGCACGCTCAGGTTTGAGAGTCTGTCGCAGCGGTTCCTGTTGATGTGCAGAACAGAGGACAGACCGTGGATCACTCCTTTATCACACAGGATGTTGGAGGAGTTGATCTGAGCCTCGTTCACCAACAGCTGAAGAAGAAACAAACAACCAGCTGTTAGAGGACCAGATCCAGAACCAGACAAGTCCTGATCTAGTCCCCATCTTTTTAGATTCCTTCAATGATCCAGAAGGATCAGTCATCTAAAGTGGTCTGAGGTCTCTGGACTCTCTGGAGGTCTTGGACTTCAGCTGCTTTTTCACTTAGTTTCAAAGCTTTTTGTTCGTTTAGCTTCTGAACTTTGAGTCATTCAGACAGAAAAACATTAAAACTAAAGAAAAATGTGACTAACAACAGCTGAAAGATAGAAAAGGCTAAAGGCTAGCTAAAAGCTAAAGAAGCTACCAAAAGCTAAAAATATCAAAAAGCTAGCAAAACACTAACAGTATCAGAATGGTAACTAACAGCTAAAGTCTCAAAACGCTAGCTTAAAGCTAAAAGTAGCAAGAAGCTGAAAGGATCAAAAGGAGACAAATAAGATTTAGCAGATCTCAGAGAGTTTCTGAAGGTAGTGAAGAAATCAAATATTTTCTGGAGACAAAATGTTTGTAAATAAATTTAATCACTTTGAAAAGTATAAAAATTATTTAAAAAAAGTTACAGCAGCTAAATAATTTCATCTATAAACAACTAAAATAGAAAAAAGTCTAAMAAAGCAGTTTTTAAGGGTGGAACCGCACCAGAGTTTGTTTGAAAGCAGACTGAGACCACCTCAAAAAATGGGTCTGGGTCCAGTTGTTAGATCTGCACCAGGGTTCATGAATGTATTCACACCTGCATGAAAGGTCCGGACCAACGAGGAAACAAACTCTGGTCCGTTTGAAGAGGACCAAATGTGTCAAGTGTGAATACACACCGAAAACATTCTGAAGAAATGATAATGCTGAGTCAGCATTCACATGCAGGTTKTTCTGGACTGGAGACTCAAACCTTTCCGTCTCGAAGGTGGATCCTCAGCTGGAAGGAAAAGCCCAGAAGAGTCTGTTTGTATCCTCCTCGCTGAAGGTCAGTCTTCAACAGTCGCTCCGGTATCACCACATGATACCGAGTCATGTTAATGTCCTGTCAGCAGATACAAAATAAATGATCTGCTCACAAATAATCATTACAATGAACATGAAGGTCCACGTCCATCACCATGAACATGAAGGTCCATGTCCATCACCATGAACATGAAGGTCCACGTCCATCACCATGAACATGAAGGTCCACGTCCATCACCATGAACATGAAGGTCCACGTCCATCACCATGAACATGAAGGTCCACGT